TGCGCTACCCTGCTGACAATTTACCCGAACGTCTTTCAATCAACCCCAAAATTTAGATGCCCTTCCACAATTCCTTGCCCCACACACACACACACACATGAGAGACAATTCAGTAATGCACAGTGGACAATGGCAAATGTTTTAAGTTGGAGGAAGGCGAACGCTTTTTGCTTCTTGCTGTTGGCTGTTTGCTGTTGGCAGTCGCCTCTCCCTTCATTGTTTATGAGCGTATCGAATTTTTGGGGTTAGTTGCGGTACCGTTGGGAGCATAAATATTTATCCAGCGATAAAAGAATTTGGGTTATTTTCGTGGTATATAAATAGCACAATTTAACTTGGTTAACCTCTAAGCCAGTGTTTCGAAACGAAACAGGGGAAGCCTTGAATACGTTAGCGCAGAGTGCCAAATGTCAAAGGAGTAATAAAAGAGGATCCGGCATAAGAGTTATGCATGTAAACATTAGCCAAAACTGCAGCGAACTAAAATTTAAAATGAAAATTGCTAAAATTAATGAAACAATTAAAGTTTCATGTGCTTAAAGCCTGCATGCCACGGTGCAGTAATTGGTGCTGACAAACGAAAGTGTGGCACGTTGCTTGGCCTGCGGCATTTACCACAAAACAATGAAAATTACAGAGATGATGACGACTACAACATTGCCACCTCTAAGCCACACAGGTGCGCACCTGTGCCGCCCGCCCCCCAGTCACACTCGGCGCTTGTGTCAATATTGACGCAGACCATATCTTTTTATGACATATTTTTTGGCTACTGTCAGCTCTGGCAGTTACTGGGTTTGTTTGCATCCTCCAGCTTTCATTTTCTTTCTGTTTTGTTTCAGTTTTTGCCCTTTGGTATCAGGTTGATAGCGAGAGCCAAGCAGCGTGTGTCTGTGCAACTGCACACGTGGCACACATGAAAAAATCCAACCTAAATCGCGCACTCGGCTGAACTTAGCTTTGGCTCATGGTTTTTGATGTCTGAGCTATTGTATCTGGGTTACTGGGTAATGCAGCAGATACGATGCATTTGGTTAACCCAGCCGAGAGAACTAGCTCAGCTGATGGATGTTGGCGGGCCGAGCCAAACTCAATCACATTTGCATTATGACCGCGTAAACAACCGACCTGACAGCTACTCTCCACATTTGCTTTGGGTGGCACTGACAACTGAAGCGGGCCTCATTGAAAAAACGGTCAAGAAAATACAAAATATTAGATGCAACGAATTGGAAATATTCTAACTTATGCATTTGAATATATAAGATAATAAAAAGTAGGAAGGAACAAGATATAGATATAGATATAGATATAGATATATAGATATAGATATAGATATAGATATAGATATATATATTGATATAGATATAGATATAGATATAGATATAGATATAGATATAGATATAGATATAGATATAGATATAGATATAGATATAGATATAGATATAGATATAGATATAGATATAGATATAGATATAGATATAGATCTTCAAATGAAGATCTAAGATCTAAGAAGAATCTTAGGGTTATTCTGATCTGAGAGCTTATTCCAACTGGCTAGATTTCCGCCATATGATATAAGCAGTTAATAAGGCAAGAATATTGAGAGTTAACTGTGCTCTATATATTACCTTAAACCCACATTTTACGCTCATATAAATATAGTTTGGGCACATTTTTCAAACTACTTTATGTGAGAGTAAGCCAAATACTACATAAAGCTGACTATACCCTCGGAGAGTGCATTTAATTTGAAACCATAAATTAGGTTTTGCGCCCAGTTAGGAATGGATGAGTGCATGGTAGCTGCGTGGCCAGGGGCGCGGATGAGGTTGAGCTGCTATCACACCTAGGCGATTTTCTTGGAAGCTCTGTGGACATCGAGCGTCCAACTGTCAGTGGCTGGACTTAAGTGGCCATAAAGTAGGCACATCACGTGGTGTGGCACTGACAGTTGCAGGTGTTGCCCACTAGGTGTCGTACTGACAGTTTGGCAGCCAAAGCGCGGTTAGGAATTTTAAATGACTCAACGCCAACGCCGCCGAATGACAATCGAATCGTCAGGATCAGCTCATGCGTGAGAGTATTCAATTACCACAGTTGCTTAAAGCAAGTCTGCAATTTGAGCGACCGGATTTGAGGCGACTTAGTTGAACCTGCCGGCTTCCGCAAAAGCAGGCATCGGTTATATATATATTTTTTTTTTATATTTTCGCCGAGTGACGATCGATTTGCCAGACAAATTGAGCACCGGCCAAGAGCTACACCGCAGCACTGACTGACAGCTGCTGACAACTACTGAAACCCTAGCAGTTGGCCAACCGTGAGCAATTCCTCAATTTGCGTCTGCCCGGTGATCACCTCGCAATGATCCCCACGACTCGGTCGTTTAGTACCCTTGGCTCGCGTATCGCATTGATCCCCGCGCCACTACGAGCTGAGCAACTCTTTCATTAAGTCCCTCACCTTGCGTATCGCATTTCAATGGCACGACCACATTCCGCGCTTTGCAGGGTTTCCATGGAAACTCTGATAGTCGGATAGATTTCCATTTGTGGCATTGTTCCACTGTGGCACGCACTGTGCCTCATGATTTCTGTGGTCAACTTGTTTAAGTGGGCGCCTCTTTCTTCTACCCATTTGCAGGTCTCGCTTGTAACTCGATCTGAATTCGGCATCAAAACTCAATTAATTTAACTCTAAATAACATTTGACATAATATGCGTTTCCATAACGTTTCCGGCCCTAACCGACAAAGCTGCAGCAGCGACAACAACAACGGCAACCACAGCTAAGGCACGTCGCACACGTTTCTATCTTGTCAATAAATCTCAATATCAAAATATGCTAAATGACCACCCGTATGAACCAGACGATAGTTCACCAGATGGAAATAACTAAAAATGCAAATAACTGCACGAATGCCAAATGCAGCAAGTCGTGTGTGTGTTGTGTGTGTGTGTGTGTGAGTATCTGTGAGATACGCGCATAAATCTATCTATAGTGCCGCCGCCCCATACAGACCCTCATCTAGTTGGGTTCGTTTACGATTCGTACTGTTTTGTTTGGTTTTTGTTTTGTTTCGGGGCGGGTTCTTTCATTAAACGCGGCGCATGCAAACAATGAACCGTGTTGACAGGTTTCGTTTTTCCAACTCTCGTTTGATTGATTTAACCTGAATCGCCTGACAGGTACGAGAGCATTTTGGCATGCCCATGTCACGAGATACAATATTCGAGATACGAGCAACGAGATACTCAAGCTCATGCTCGGCTTTAGATATGGAAATCTACAGATACTTATGCTAAGCACAACTTGGGAGGGAAATACATTGAATGCCGGCATACATGTCAACTTCCATATTTGAAACCTAAAACTCGATCAGAGCGCAAAAACAGAGTGCGACAATCAAACCAAAGCTGTCGCGTGGAGTTATGCCGTGCCAGAGTCTAAGCGATCCAAATACATATTCATAAATACTTCAAATCGCTCGCAGTGTCTGCTCTATATCGTATATCGCATAGCAATAATTACAAAGGAATATTTACTGGAATTTGCACTTGCACTGAGATTCAATAGAAGAAAGAGTCTCAGGTCTACTCATTTATAATAATTTATACATGAGATCATGTTAGACATGCATGCTACAACTGCCAGGCAAGCTACAAAAAGCTGAATAGCTTCATTTGACAGAGGAATCAATTTACTGCTATAGACATTGTTGCGTCTAGTGAAAAGAATGAAATGCGTGCAGTTTTGAACAGTAGACACGAGTAATTATGTTGGACAGCGACCGCTAGACGACGATTTGAAAGAGAGATAGATATTTCCTTTGGCTATGTGCCGAAGACAATTGACGACTGTCTGTAGCCAAAGGCTGGACCCGACGCAACTTCAATCCACTCTAGTCCACTCCACACTCAACTCGACTCGACTCAACTCAAATCATAGATGCAGCTCATGAGTGGCACAACGAATGCGAGACGAATGAATCGAGTGAGGGGGAAATTGATTGACAGTTGAATGATTTAATGAGCAACAAGATAAACGATGCCCGATGCCTGATGCTGGCCTGCCAACCACAGCGAAATGAATTACTTATTTTCATTCGAATTTCAATTTGAATCTCTCTCGCTCAAATAAGTATCTGTTAGTTGTTGCCATTGTGTTTGGCTGCAACACGGCGGTTCATAAAAGATGCTTATCGCAACGCTGCGACGCTGCAACGCTCTGAAACTTTTTCTCTTTCTTGCCCCGTCATGTGACGACCACGCATTTTGTGTCAACCAGTCAACGGAGCTGGGAACTGATAAACTAATGTTGGTAAAAAATAAATAGGTAAAAAAGTAATATACAGTTCCATAATACAAAGCATTAGGCCAGCCATGAAATGTTAGTAGACAAGAAGCAAGCTAGATATTTTCTGTAAAGTTTGGTCTGACTGCGTAATGGTTGACTTTTAAGGTCACTCTAGACACAGAGGTAAATGATGAAGTCACTTCCCAAAGACCACTTTAAGGTTTATTGGAATTTGTTTCCATCTATATATCGCTGTATATAATTTTACTTGACTTCCATGCCTCAAGCTCTACGAACATTTCTCTTCGAGTGTATAGCTAGTTGGCGAGCTTTGAGCAGCTTCTCTTTAATTTTCCATTAAATTTCTTACACATAATTAAATTTGCCGCGCCATTTAAATACACATCTCCAAGGCGCAACAATTGCATTTAAAGCTTTTCACTTCTTTTATTTATCATTTCTACACTCATTTTAAAGTCGTTTGCGTGTGTGATCGGAGTCCGGAGACGAGTCAGCCCGTAGCACTTGTTGTCCCACGCAGCGCGCAGAGACTCAGATACTCAGACACTCACGCAGTCCACACAAGTCGAATATAATTTATGTATCGCCCAAATAATGTTTACGATCTTCACATACGACATTCACTTGCCAGCAGGGACTCTCGATTCTCTCAATCTCTCTTGCTCCCCCTCTCTTTACACATGTTTACTCAAAACAAAAAGTTCGATTTAATTGTCAAAATTCGTAAGTTAACAGTAATTTTAAAAAAACGTTGGATCAAGATATAGAACGAATTTTGGTTAAGCAGATTGCAGAAAAATGCAAAGCACCTTCCACCTGTAGTCGAGATGCTAATTAATTTTCTTCTTAACAATGGTGTACAGCGTAAATTCAGCCTGAGTAGCTGCATCGCCTGCCTCGCATGCCGTCCCCCTACCGTTAACCATCGTTCAGCTCAGTCACCATTTGGCTGCCGCCAGGTGCACGGCAGCAAATGGAAACGGCAGAATGCTGTCAACGAACAACGCCGCAAGGTTATACCAAAGCTGGTATATTTACACAATCCGTGGAAATACCTGATAACCAAGTTCAATATGTGGAAGCTGAAGTGGCTTTGGGACTACGGATTCAATGAGACCGAATTCGTTGAAGGCTCCAAGCAGGCCGCCATTGTTATGACGGACATCATACGACAGCAAAGTGCAGAGAAGATTAGTGAATTTACAACGCCTGTGGGCTTCCAGCAAATCACACGCGACATGCTTCTATCGCGGAATGATTCGCGACTGCAGCTGGTGCGCTTCGAAAATGAGCATCTGCGCCGTGCCATACCCATGAAGGTTGCTACACGTCAGAACTATGGACGGAAATATGCATTTATCGATATGTTGTTTGTCGGTCTGCGGAATACGAAGGATTTCGACTCGCCCAGTGAGCTAGTGGAGATCAACGAAATTCTGCGTCGCATGGATAGTGAATTGAAGACCCCGTCAGATGTTGTCTCAGTGCCACATCGAATCGTTTTTGCCGAAATTTTTATACGGTTTCGTCGTGACTATACAGCTGAGTGGAGGCGCAAGGAAGAAGCATCCAGGCATCCGAAAACTTCGTCCTTCCAAGAAACAGATGGCAATCACCAAGATCAGCAGCCAGCATCGGGAACGGCACACAATATGATGATAGGACGTGTGCTGTCGCGCCTCAACGATCCAGGCTGGTCGGTTTCGTTCTACAAAATTCTCACTTTCGATGTACTCAATTTTGACCCGCAGCCAAATCGGCGTTCGAGTGCTTGACTGCTGCCGCTTCCACTTCATTTAAATTTCTAAATAAAATTTTGCGTATTTATTAATTTTACAACTGTATCTTCACAATCTAAACGATCTGCTCTTAGCTTACATCTGCATGCGGGCATCTATCAAATTTATCACCTTGAATTGCGCTCACACCTTAAGTTGACATGTTGTTTGTCATCATTGTCGTGGACACAAAACCGAAAACAAGATTTGTGACTTGAGCCACGCTATTTGTATAAAATGATGTAATGAGCCACATTACACGATTCGAGTGTGTTAGCTGTTACCATTATTGTTGCTCTTGTCGTTCGGCTCTAATTGGCTACGAAGCCTGGGCTTGGGCTTGGCCTTGCCCGTCCCAATCGATTTTCAATCCGTTAGCCTAAACAGCTCACCAAACAAGAAAACGATACAAAAATCAACATGCGTCATTACATATTTATCTTCATGTTTTACACATTTTTGCATAATTTGTACACCTTTTTCACATTATGAGGGCTGCTGCAGGTCGCAAGACTTGGACATGTTACACAGCACAGCAAGGGCAAATAAATCAGAAATGGTAATAGCAACAAGTTAGAACGCTTCAGTCGAGCTCAAACGAGCTTATAATACAACTTCAAAATCATAGCTTTTAAAATAGAAATTTTCCATGCCCCAATTGCCGAGCTATATAATTTATTGAAATATCTGTAGAGCAAAAACTTGCAAGCCAGGCTTAGAAAAATCTCATATAATTATTATTTACCTTTGGCACTGATTATATATTCCAATACATTTAATACAGTCTCTAGGACTTGCAGGATTTTATGGAATATATAGTAACTGTCACCTTTAAGTGGATATATATAATACTTTTTGGTCGATCTGTAGAAAATGTCAACTCTGACATACTTGGTAAATCCTTAGCTTCCCTACCTTCAATAGGAAAATCAGAAAAGACGATTTTCCACACTCCCCACGAACTTATACTAAGCACTTTATTAGACAAGATTACCAATGCATATATATTTCAAGTCTCTGAAGCGCCTGAATGCTCTGAGTTCATACAAACAAACGGACAGCAGAACGAGCTGCCAAACCAGACATTGCGCAAAGTAAATACTAATCTTTTGACTTTTAACGTAAGCGAGTGGAACTGTTTCAAGATGTTGTGTATTGTACATATTTGTATAGGCTCATCATATTTTTTCACATTTAAAATAAAATTTAATCAGTTGATTCTATTCTGACCTTAGTTAAATATAGCCCGGCTAAACCCAATCACGCTCGAAATGTTTGCATTATCGAAGAGTAAAAAGTTTTAGCTGACTTTGTTTTTGTTGTTGTCTTTTTTCTTAAGCTATTTGCTCAAGCTAAATAAAGACAAACCTAAGTCCCAGCAGCTAATGGCAAAACAGCATAAGACGAGAATGGAATGAAAAAAATAACAACACGTCAAAAGGGAGAAATAATTTAAATAAGAAAACACAAACAGCTGTTGCAGTTCAGAGCCTGGCTGAGAATGAAAATGTGCCAGACACAAACATACACACACACGCACATGTAAATCCGTACGCAATAACACACAGTTACAGTTACAAGCAAAAAGGATAATCTCATTATAATGAAACGCAAGTTATGCACGCGCAGCCGACAGCCGCTAGATGGCGCCAGCGAGGCGTCAGTCAAGTGTCGCCCGCCCAGCTTAGAGTGAAGCAAATGAAGGAGTAGGCGAACACTGGCACTGGCAAAGACGCAGCTGGTGCTGCTGTTGCTGTTGCTGCCGCTGCCGGCCACCAGCTTGGGGACTATGAGGAATGGCAGCCAAGATCCGCTCTCTGAGCTGACATGCGAAACACGCTGGCCATAAAAAACTAACAGAATTATAATAATTTATGTATATATTTCTTTTTTTTTTGCCCTGGCCTGACCATTCAATCCGTGGCATGCAGTTGCCTTGTCTATCTTATCGTTCTACATAGATAGAGCACAGTGGTATCAGCTAAAATATGCTTAAGGAAGATATGTTTTAGTTTAAGTTAATTATAATTTTGATTAATTAAAATCTAAGCGAAAGAGTCAAAATCAAGCGCATTTACTAATTATAAAACGTTTAATGAAAAATTAAAAAAATATAAAATTATATTTATTTATATTTGAAATAGTTTAAATTTTCAAAGAAATTTTTAACATAATTTGCTCAAGCTTAGAAAGTTTCAGTCAATTGAATTAATAGTTTAAATTCCTAGAGCCTTTTCAGCTTGAATAATTTGGTTTAAATTTTACTAAAGCATACTCCATATACGCCCGATATGATAGCTATAATCGGCTTTAGTTAGTTAGATTGTTAAAATGTTCGATTTAATATCTCATATTATTTGATAGCCTTACGTTAGCTTGAACCAATGTGCGACGCCTCAGCCTAAGCCTAAGTCCACGTCTTAGGCATAAGCTGGACTGGGCTGGGCTGCTGGGCTGCTGCTCATGCCCACGCCATAAATAAAACAACCGGCTTAATTTCAAACTCATTTGCAAATATTTACACACAAATCGAGAAACCCTTTTGCAAGCGGATGCGCATCCCAAATCCAATGCGTAACAGGTGCGCGACCCCGACATAAAGTCGGGTTCAAAGTTTTCTTTTTGCTTCAAGCTTTTTTATTTCGTCTTCTTATTTTTTTTTTTGTCTTTTTTCTTTTTTTTGCCTTTTGCAGATTAATTACAAGCCTTGCGTAATGAGCGGATTTCCGGAACGTTCCGTTCGTTTAGGCCCTGACTGACGACAGTAGCGGGTCGTATATCTTGCGTTTAATAAAATTGAATGAAATTTATGAATTATTTGCGCGCAACGCATAGAAATGCGGCCACCCACCGGCCGAGACCGGAAAAGGTGAAGCGCGCCTTGCACTTCTTTCTGTCTGGAATCTCGGCGATGTCTTCGTCGCCCGCCAATCGTTGATCTTCATTAGCAGGCGCCGTCGACGTCTTCATAGACATTGTTGGTGTTGGCTGCGAGTCTAAAGCTTGAAATTTATGGCAACGCATTTGCAGCTCGCGTTTACGGACATAATGCCATGGCCAACAACAACAGCAACAACAATAACAGAAACGACAACAGCAACAACAACAACAGCTAATAAAGCGTCTGCGTTGTTGTTGTCATGGCTGTCCTTTATTAGTTCATTGCTTTGCCTCTTGCCGGCTCGTATCCATTTACACTTGGATATTTATCGTCGCCGCCGACCTCCTGCGCCGTTTCAAATGGAGTTGTCCCATAATTTTTAGCTCTGCCCGGGCTAAATACGCCATTTAACACAACATTTAAAATGCATATTGATCGTATATCAAAAGCTCGTTTCATTTTCATTACATAATCACAGTCAAGCACCGTTTGCTGGTGTATCTGGTGTGGGTGTCACCGTTACCAAGATATGTGTTTAAATAAATCATTGCAATCTGACGGCTTCCTATGGCGGCATGTGGAAATGCAAGTAATGTACTTGATTTCCACAGAACTCGGCATGAAGGCTCAAAATAGAATATACAATACTGGAAAAATTATTAGAATTCTATTAGGGATCTTATACTAAATGGGAATGTACTTGATGTGCTATGTGAGTGCAAATGAATTTCATAGAAGCTGAAAGGTTTCATATAAAGGAATGTCAATATAAATAAGTAAGAATGTTGCAGTTGAGTCTGAGTACTTTTATAGTACTTGTTGAAGATCAAATATCTGTTAAGTGTACTCAAATTGCTTTAAATTCTTAAATTCTTAAAATTCTGTAGATAAGATTGTCAAATGAAGGTTGAAGGTTACCTGCCTCATGGCTATAAATTATATCTTATATATAGTCTATAAGGAATTTTTTTTAATTTTCAAGTAAACAAATTTTTGTTTTTATATATTATTTTACTCAAATTAAGTTCATATTTCCTATTATTTTGCCAATGTATTGCATTTCTTGAAGATAAATTTCAGACATTCAAATTATTCATTTGCAGTGATTTTGTATTTTTATTATATTGAAATATTATTACTGATTGTTGCCAGGTAGCACGACAACACTTGAAACTGAAGGGAATAAATAAGTTCAATAAAATTTTTAAAATCCAAATTTAATGACTCTAGCTCTAACGTCTTGAAAAACAATATTAAATAACTGAAGTACGACTTCATGACGAAGAGAAAATCTGTAAATTCTTTGAAACAAATTTCAAAATGAAACCAGAAAGCTTATAGATTACAATTTCTTTTTGTTACTCACTCTCTATATGAACAATCAAACTTTCCACTTTTCATTGTACACTGCACATTATTTATGCTTTGTTTTAAGCATTTAAAATGATGCTCTGAGCGTATTGTAATATCATTTGCATTCACATTCGGTACGAATATTGAAGCAGCCTTTAAGCTGCTTTTTGGCATTTAAAATGTTCGGCTGGGGCCACTCTGGAAATCGCTCATAAAAATGTCCACGATTGCAGAGACAAGCCGGCACAATATTTATGATAGTATTGAAGACCTGGACGAGCGGCTAAATTGCCACTTGGCGCCAAAACGAGAGCTGCCGCCCAGGATCTGGACAAGCTTCGCAGCTGTCCGACGACTCTGACGCTGTCAGCATTCAGAGTATCTGCATAAATTTTGTTTCAAGAAACAAGACAGAAAAAAAAACAAATAAACGCCAAAAATTGAACTTTTTTGCGAGTAAATTTTTTAATTTAAAACACATTTTATATGCAAGAAGAGCAGCAAAATGGGCCGGCGCGGGCCGCAACGGCAGAGGGCCCCAACAACAAAACTGAAACATAAATAAATCTGAAATTTTATGCACTCGAAAAGCTCCAAGCAAAGGGACTCCGAAAGAGCACGGGACAGCGCCATTCGAAAACCGTGTGGAACTCACATAAAAGCTGCTTGCGACTTGCAAAAAGAAAACAAAGCTGGGTAGCTTGGTGAGGGCTCGACTGGCAGATACCCTAAGCTGTTGATGATAGCTACTCTTTACACTCTTTAACTCTAAC